ATCGCAGTGCAGACAGACAGACAGACATATACATTCACACACAGAATCACTCACACATTCACCCCTAGGGGCAATTTAGCACGTCCAATCAGTCTGACTGCATGTCTTTGGACTGTGGGAGGAAACCCACACAGACAAGGGGAGAACTCCACACAGAAAGGACCCAGGTCGCCCAGTCAGGAGTCAAACCCAGGCCCTTCTTGCTGTGAGGCGCCAGCGCTACCCACTGTTAATTTATTTACACTTAGGAAATCAACAATGACATGTAAGGAGTGCACAAACTTTTGCACACCACTGTATAAGTCACTTATATCACTTGTATAGCATTTTTGAGGCACATATCTAGAAGCCAAGGATACTACGACTCAGGCCCAGTCCCATTTCTTATTGTTACCCCTACCCTTGTTTTCGAGTGTCTCCTTGCCCTTTGAAACTGAGTTATAAATTGTAGTGTTGTTGAAATCTTCCTCTGAAATGGGACCCTCTAATAAAAAGAGCAGCACTTCATTAACAGCTACTAGTGCTGCTCTGTAGGCGACCCTGCCAGTCTGCAGTGACAGCAGAGGAGGGTAAAGTTCAGCTCCTCACTGCTGGGCTTTAGTTACATTTAGGGCATCATATGACCTTCAAAGAGGGGGGCAATTATTTATTATCACCCACCCCTAATTCTTCAGTGATATGAAGCTGAAGTCAGATATTCACCAGCTTCTTCTTCAAATTTTCCCATTCCACCTTAAATGGTGCAGCAGGTACATTCTGGCACTTCAGACGTCAGAACTGCTGGACTATTTAAGGTGGAACGGGTTAGCTAGCTACAGAAACATTAGCATACTATTAGAGATTTTTTATGCTTGTTGTGAAGAAAAAGACCAAAATACATTGAAACGACATTAAACTAAGATAAAACGATGGTTATTGTAATTTTTAACAGAGAAAATTCTCACATTTGTGTGTTTCTTTGGTCTCTTGTTCAGCCGTCTTACCGGTTTGTCTTTTTTTCTCATAACTCTCTGTTTGGAGTCTCTGAAAAACCTCCGTTTGGAGGGTCATGTAGCCCCAACACCTCACCCTACCCCTCTATCTCAACAAGAATCAGGACACCCTACCCCTAGACGTGAACGCGCAAAACAGAGGGGTAGAGCTGAGGGGTGGGGGCGAGGGGTGAAATGGGATTGGGCCTAGAATGATCATGTTATTCAACACCATCATGGTTTTAGTTTCAGTTGTTTATTTTGTTGAGTTTTGGTGAATTTTGTTTGGCAGTTTGCCGATTTTTAACAACGAAAGCAGAAGAAAGCTTCACGCCGGCCGAGTTAAGCTCAGTCATAGCTGACCTACAGGCCTGTCTGAACACGAGGGGCAGCTGAAAGTGTGGCTCTCAGTCCACTGACAAAAGACCTGCCAGAATTCAGCACAACAAACAGGTTTGAGTATCCACAATAACTGCTCTATCTAAGGGCCTTTGCTGATGAAATGTGTTGTCGTTTAGGCCACAGCATTTGAGGTTTGGAACAAAGAGGAACCCACCGAATGGTAAATAAAGACACTTATAATAGAAGCCAGTGGGCAGGTGCTGAAATTGGTTTCTATTTATATTTAAGTACGAGGAAATTATTGCCCAACTGCATGTGACAAACGCTGCACATAGAGATTAGGCAGTAAAATGCTGAAGTGCTCCTTTAACCCTTCCCTGAATGACCCCACTGACCCCTGTGTACTGCAGCCCACTCAGGCCCACAGCCATGGTTAAAATAATGTTAAAGGGGAACTCAAAAATTCTACATAATATAAACAGAGTCGTTCAGAGTGGTTTGGTGTGAAACGCTCCGTTCTAGAGAAACTTACCGAGTCAGAACTGTTCACAGTGGTGGTGATAGGAACCAGACGTCCACCTCTAAAAGCTCCCTCACAGAAAGTTCCTACATGAAATGGTTGTGAATTCACTGCCTGATGACTGAGACGCTGTTTTATGATGGTTTTGTGGTAAAGATTTGGTTTAAAGTGCATTTTAATTGATTTATTTTCATCAATCATGGTGGAGGGATACATGCAGGGCGCTGTGAGGCAAAATAGTCCCCAAAGAAAACTTATTATTTCAGATTTTCCACTATTTTCCATCATCAACATTCCATATAAACTCAGAAGACTCATGTAGGTTCACTGGTGGTTCTGGATAGTAAATAAAATGTCTATATTTGTGTTGTAGTCATGGCGACGCCTGGTTCCTATCACCACCACTGTAAAGACATCTGAACCATTCCACACCAAACCTCTCTGAATCTCTCTGTTTACATCCCAAGAACTGAACTATTCAGAAAGTTTTTAAAAATAGAGGACTTCCCCTTGAATAGCTAGGAGGAGCTGCCACTTGTGGAAAGACTTAATACTCGCACTGACCACTTGTCCAGCTGGCTCAGATTAAGGTGGGTGTCCAGGCTGCTGCTGCAGTTTGAGAGCTTTTGGCTCTCGGGGTCGATCTCGAACGCCATGTGTTTGTCATTGAAGTCCTTTTCCAACGCGCTGGACGGCCCTGTTCGCACTGCAAGAGAGAAAACCTCAATGAACTAGTGACTGTCAGACGATTGCGGCCTGACCACTAGAGGCCACTAAATCTTACACACTGCAGCTTTAAATCATGATTTCCTCTCTGTTTCCTTTGAGACCCCAGCTAAGAAAACCAGCAAAGATAGCCACCAGCAAATTCCCTGCTGGTCTAAGCAGGTCCAGTGCTCGTTTGACTGGTCACCCAGCATGGTCTTGCTGGGTGACCTGCATACCAGCACCCAAAACACAATGTAATCCGGCCTGTGCTGGTTCTTCTAGCAGGGTTGGCGTACCTGTAAGGGGCCCTCAGTGTCCGACACTGCCTTAATTAGACATAACTTCACCTGCTTTAGCACCTCAGTCTCTTTCACTCGCTGCTCGGCCTCATGCCTTATCTCACCACCCCAGAACTTTATGTGTACAATCTTCTCGGCTATCCGACGGTTAGTCTCACTCTGTGCTCGCTTCATGAGCTCATCTCTGGTTTGGATCAGCCTCATGGTGTCCATCCTGAAGCTCTAGGCCTGGCAGCAGCTCTGCTCAGAGCACCTGCAGTGGCCTGAGGTCACTCTGGCCCATTGCTCTGGGCTGATCTGGGTTGACACCATGGGCACAGCCTGCTTTAAACAGGGCATCTTCATGATTCTGGAGCTGCCCTGATGGCTGAAGTGCCTCTACAGCTTAAAACTGTTTTACAGTTCCTGAGCGATGGGCCTCTATCACCATCCTTCACCGCACCTCAGTTGGGCAGTAATGTGGTCAGAGTGGTAAAGCGCTGAGGGCCAGAAGATCCACAGAAGGTCATTTCTGAATTGCTTCTCTGTTGATGCTGTAACTTTATCTTTATCCTGAAATGGCCGATTGTCTCTGGTGAAACACGGACTATGACGTTTCCATGCGTCATTTGAAAGAAGTCACAATTGGTTGCTAGGCAACAAAGCGAGGCGATTGAAATGACACGATTAGAGCGTCAATCAATGTAAAAGAATTAAATATGTGATAAAAATAATTCTATATTTATTTCTAGGTGTTACAAAGTGGTATAAATCTGCTAATTTAATTTCAGATCGGCAGATTAAGACATAATTGACATTGTAAAGCAAAGATTCAGGTTTTTTTTTCCTGTGGTTTATTAAAATCACGCTTTATGTGATTTTAATTACTATTGCTGTTGAGCTTTATCTCATGTCTGTAAAGCACTTTGAGCTGCCACTGGTATGAAATAAATAAAATTAAATTTAAAAATTAATAAAAATAATTAATTAATACATAAAATAATATTAAAATGTAATTAAATAATAATAATAATACTAATAATAATAATAATAATAACAATGGGGGGGGGGCGATAATCTTTGGATGAATCCCGAGTGGCTTCATGCTCCCTATGACATGCACTACGTTAGTCATGAAATAGCAGCCTCTACACCCAAATATTCATTAAACGTCTAATAGAAAGCCATTTATATTCAGCCATAGGACCCCCTGTTTAACATAGGGTTTAACTATGTAGGGAGTAGGGAGCAATTTGAGCCTAAGCCTGTGTGAATATGCATCTTTTAAGAGCTGATTTATTTCTGTATCAGTCCTGAGGTGGAATTTACAGCTCATCTCAGAACCGGACAGCAGATCCAGGGTCAGATTTACACTAAATGATTTACCATGTCAAAATAACAACTTAGTATTTCTTAATAATGATTTTATCCCGACATCATTACTTACTTCATTGAAGTCCCTGCTGCAAACAGACAGTTAGAACAGCTAGTTTTCTGTAGGACACCTTTAGATCCCATTAGGAAACCATCAAATGCATCTGGAATCAGCCCCAGAACACCAGTTAAACCATTGGAGTCCTTTACACTGTGATGTCAACCCATCAGGAAAACACGAAATACCATTAGGGGCTATTGGACACCAGGAACCAGCAGAGACTTTTAATGTTTTCTCTGGGTTTTTTTCAGCAGGGATAGAAGAGCTCATTATTTAAAAAAATAAAATCTTGAGAAAATAAGACATTGTTTTGAGATACAAAGTCAGCATTTCAAGAATGTAAGTCATTATTTCGAGATATTATGTTAATATTTCAAGAAAATAAACCATTTCTCAGAGATACTAGTCAGTTGTCGGGAAAATAAGTCATTATGTCGTGATAGTAAGTCAGTATTTCAAGAAAATAAATCACTATTTCGAGATACTACTGCCAAACTTTCCCGTTCCACCTTAAATAGTCCAGCAGTTCTGACGCCTGAAGCGCCAGAATGTAACTGCTGCACCATTTAAGGTGGAACGGGAAAATTAGAACAAGAATCTGAAGAATATCTGACTTCAGCTTCATATCACTGAAGAATTAGGGGTGGGTGATAATAAATAATTGCCCCCCTCTTTGAAGATCATATGATGCCCTAAGTGTAACTAAAGCCCAGCAGTGAGGAGCTGAACTTTACCCTCCTCTGCTGTCACTGCAGACTGGCAGGGTCGCCTACAGAGCAGCGCTGGTAGCTGTTAATGAAGTGCTGCTCTTTTTATTTGAGGGTCCCATTTCAGAGGGAAGATTTCGACCACTAGGGTGACACTGGAAAACAAGGGTAGGGGTAAAAAGAAGAAGGGACTGGGCCCGAGCAGGAAGAATGACGCAAATCAGCGCGGAACCTTTTACGAGGAGCGCCGGGTCTTACGGGGACCGATGTATTGAGCGCACCGATCTGGACTATGGCGGATGTTCCGAGTGACGCTCCTGAACGTGAGTTTGAGTTTCAGAGAAAATAAAGAGTTTAAATTCCGTTTCACTCTCGTATTAAACTCACTCTCACTCCCTTATCAAAGCGAGCTCGGCTTCAGAGAGAGTTACTCGCCCACTGTCACTCTGGCGGAGTTCAGCGTCCGCCATTCACTCTCGCTCTTAAAGGGCGATTTCACCGAGTTTCCAAAATTGAAGATGTAAACAAAGTAATCCAGAGAGGTTTGGTGTGAAACGCTCCGTTCTAGAGAGCGTTGGTTCAGTGGTGGTGATAGGAACCAGACGTCCACCTCTAAAAGCTCCCTCACAGAAAGTTCCTACATGAAATGGTTATGAATTCACTGCCTGATGACTGAGACACTGTTTTATGATAGTTTAGAGAACTTAAACTCCATTCATGGTGGAGGGATACATGCAGGGCGCTGTGAGGCAAAATAGTCCCCAAAGAAAACTTATTATTTCAGATTTTCCACTATTTTCCATCATCAACATTCCATATAAACTCAGAAGACTCGTGTAGGTTCACTGGTGGTTCTGGATAGTAAATAAAATGTCTATATTTGTGTTGTAGTCATGGCGACCCCTGGTTCCTATCACCACCACTGTAAAGACATCTGAACCATTTCACACCAAACCACTCTGAATCTCTCTGAATCTCTCTGTTTACATCTCAACCACTAAATTATGCAGATAATTTTTAAAAATTGGTGGAATTCCCCTTTAACCAGTTTAAACTAATGATTACACACCACAGTATTACTCTGGTAGACTGTCCTGTTCTAAATGCAGTTGTCATTTTTGCTGATGAAAGCTCCACTAACTGGCCACTTTATTGGAAACACCTACCTTGTGCTTGCAGGTTCAGAGTGTATTAAATGCTGGTTGTAGGCTGGAATGACATTTTAACGTACATTTTTCAGAATTACTTTAATGAAAAATAAGTAATTTTATTTTTTGATTAAAGGTTATTTTTTATCAGACACATTATTGGACATTGGTTAAAGTTTATTTTTTATCAGACACATTATTGGACATTGATTAAAGTTTATTTTTTATCAGACACATTATTTGACTTTCGTTAAAGTTTATTTTTTATCAGACACATTATTGGACATTGATTAAAGTTTATTTTTTATCAGACACATTATTTGACTTTCGTTAAAGTTTATTTTTTATCAGACACATTATTGGACATTGATTAAAGTTTATTTTTTTATCAGACACATTATTGGACTTTGGTTAAAGTTTATTTTTTTATCAGACACATTATTGGACTGGTTAAAGTTTATTTTTTATCAGACACATTATTTGACCTTGGTTAAAGTTTATTTTTTTATCAGACACATTATTGGACATTGGTTAAAGTTTATTTTTTTATCAGACACATTATTTGACATTGGTTAAAGTTTATTTTTTATCAGACACATTATTGGACATTGGTTAAAGTTTTTTTTTATCAGACACATTATTGGACATTGGTTAAAGTTTGTTTTTTGATCAGACACATTAGTGAGCTTCCCCTACACTTCATTATTGAGGTGTTTTAAAGCTGTTATGACTGTGTTTCTCTGAATTGAGGCTGAAGTTCTTGTTTTTTGTTTGTCCTCCTAAGACTGCCCGGGCACCACCAGTGAGCAGGCTGGGAAGTCGTCAGCATGCCAGGGATGTCCCAACCAGACGATATGTGCCTCTGGTGCCACCAAAGCTCCAGACCCGGGTATCTCACTGTTCCTCATCTTCTGCTCCTTTTTTCTGTGCTTGATTGGCCGTGTAGCACCGACCTAGCACTCACAAATTAAACACGGACACATTACAGCACTTCCTCAGTGTGCTGGTCACCAGCCCACTAAATAGTGCTACCAGCTACATGAGCCACTCACTTAGGATGTCACTGAGGCGAGTCACAAGTACCAACAAGACCATCGTTGTCCATCTCCTGTATAAATCAAAGCAAACCAAAAACACAAAATAATTAAAGCTGCAGTGTGTATGATTTAGTGGCCTCTAGTGGTGAGGTTGCAGACTGATCCCCCTCCCTCACCCCTGCCTTTCCAAGCATGTAGTAGAACGGTGGCCGTCAGGTTTTGCTGCTGCTGTAGAAACATGGTGGCGCAACATGGCGGCCTCTGTCGTAAATGTGAATGAACTGGCGTCCTGAAATGACCCTCATGAGCTCATCCTACTCAGTAACGTCACGTGAATGAATCACTGCATCATCAGCACAAACTAACGAGCAGAACGAGCTTCGCTGAGAAGATAATTAACTCTGATCAGCTCTCAGCTTCATTATTAGAGCGAGACGAAGGAGAAAAAGGTGAGATGAGCTGCTTTTCCACCGTTTACAGGCTTTAACTTCTGTTCGGTGCTGCTGCCATGGTAACGCTGAATGATGGCGCAGTGGGAAAAAAGCACATGAATTCCGATCTGAGCGTCACATTCAGGTCACATGGCCACGAATCGGATACGTATCTGATCTCGGACCACATATGAAAGTGGCTCAGGTCGGATTTGAAAAGATCAGATTTGCGTCCACGCAACTCTGAAAACATCAGATCTGAGTCACATTAGGGTAAAAAATCAGATTTGTGCCGCTTCAGCCTGGTAATGTGAACGTAGCCTTAATGAAACCAAAATATAACAAATACCAAAACATATTATTACTTTTAATGTGTATAATATACACAGGCAAATTATAAAAAACTAGTTACGGAGAAATCTCCAGCCATGCCATGTGGCTTCACTGTATTTAAAGTGAAAAAGCCCCAGGTGCCTCTCCACATCTCCATCGTTTGGCAACTGACTCAACATTTCCAGTTATTAAATGAAAGGAACTGCCATAATAGCCAGTTTTATGAAACTGTCTGGTTACTGGAGATCTTACATCTTTATTTCTGGTTGTACCTTTATGTTCACAATTTTTTTAAAATTGTCATTTCATTTTCCCCACATAGTTGAGGCCACATAGACAAATTAATAAATAAACTATGCAGGTCAACAAACCTGTGAGCACCTTGTTGATTTGAGGATGTCTGTATGCAATTACATACAGCGCAACTGTAATCATACAGATTAAATTAAAGCAGTAAACAGGTGTGTATTTCTTGATGTAGTGAAGCACAGAGAACTGGCTAAATCTTACACTGCTCTCTTCTTTGTAGCCATAGAGGAAATCAAGCTGAAGATGGCCACCGTGAAGCACAAGATTCTGGTTTTATCAGGCAAAGGGGGCGTCGGGAAGAGCACCTTCAGCGCACACCTGGCTCACGCCTTGGCTGGTGATGACTCCAAAGAGGTAGGCTCGAGGAAACCTGTTTCTCCTCCTGACTCTTCACTGCATGCATGAGCCTTAGATTGCTCAGGAAAACGCTGACTTTGCAGAGTGTTTTTGATTTCTGAAGGATGAAATGCTGTGCATTGCCACCCTGAGGTCTGTCTCACAAAGCGCATTCGACTTAGACAGTGTTGCTGAATAAGTTTCAGCTTCATAAAAAAACCAAACACATGCATCCGTTACAGCTTTGTCTCTTAACCCAGGCGTAGATACTCATGTTGTGATCAAAAGGCTCGTATTGTTTTGATACAAAAGAGTTTCTATACACCATTCAGTTACCAGTCACCACAGTCCACGTATGAAAATAAACTGCGAAAAGTGCCTGTTTGGAATTCACTATTAATGTGATGTCATGACAGCCAATGCATTTACATATATCCACCCGTTCAGCTAACTACAGTTTAGCCCCGCCCACTCACACTGAAGTGTTTAGCTCAGGCTGATTTTGAATGAGGCACAGCCAATCAGAACAGAGTTCATTTGCATGTATCAGTCTTAAAGGCACCCCAGCAAAAACAGCTTATTAACTCTGAGGGATAAAGGGAGGAAGGAAAATGGTCATGCGAAAATGAATTATGGCTGTTTTTGGTACCTGCACAATGGTCACAATGGTCATCAGTGGACCTCAAAAGGGAAAAATGAAATATGAGAACAGTGCAGAATATGGGCCCTTTAAGTTGGAAATGAAGGTGTTTGAAGAGCCCATATCCTGGCATAACAAATTTTCCCTAATGTTTTGAAATAAGAGTTTTATGTAGTAAAGATTGCTGAAGTTTCTGTACAGTCTGTATATGGAACTAAGGCTGTAGAAGCAGCCTGTTTAGAATTTATTGTGTTGTGATTTTGTGAAAGAAGACATATTTACACCGATCAGGCATAACATTCTGACCACCTCCTTGTTTCTACCCTCATTGTCCATTTTATCAGCTCCACTTACTATATAGGTGCACTTTGTAGTTCTACAGTTACAGACTGTAGTCCATCTGTTTCTCTGATACTTTGTTAGCCCCCTTTGAACACCTCAGTGTCACTGCTGGACTGAGAATAGTCCACCAACCAAAAATATCCAGCCAACAGCGTCCTGTGGGCAGCGTCCTGTGACCACTGATGAAGGACTAGAGGATGACCAACACAAACTGTGCAGCAGCAGATGAGCTATCGTCTCTGACTTTACATCTACAAGGTGGACTGATAAGGTAGGAGTGTCTAATAGAGTGGACAGTGAGTGTTCAAAAACTCCTGCAGCACTACTGTGTCTGATCCACTCAGACCAGCACAACACACACAAACACACCACCACCACGTCAGTGTTACTGCAGTGCTGAGAATGATCCACCACCCAAATAGTACCTGCTCTGTGAGGGTCCATGGGGGTCCTGACCACTGAAGAACAGGGTAAAAGGGGGCTAACAAAGTATCAGAGAAACAGATGGACTACAGTCTGTAACTGTAGAACTACAAAGTGCACCTATATAGTAAGTGGAGCTGATAAAATGGACAATGAGCGTAGAAACAAGGAGGTGGTCAGAATGTTAGGCCTGATCAGTGTGTATATGCCTGATCAGCTCACAGCAATTTAGCTCCGCCCATTCATGCTTAAGTTATAAGGACTGTTGTGGGGGAAGTGGATGGTTTTGTGGAGAGTGGGGAAAATCTAGTTTTCTGTGGGATGGGCCATTTAAAATGATCAGGCTAAGGCTGGGTGTGTACTGCATGATTTTTTTGCCCGATTTTAAGCCCTGTGTGACAAATTTTCACAGTCCGAAGCGATTTTCCAGTTCGGGAGCTCAATCAGAAGCAGCTGACGATGCACATGATCTGTTAGTGTGAGAGAAGAAGCGAGTTTAGCCCCTTCGATCGAACTCTGGAGTGATCAGAGACCCTCTGATATTATCACGTTTAATATTCACGACTCAGTGTTCACGAGTCCTGCAGTGTGAGACGGTCAGAGATTTACTCAATGAGTGATTCAAACAGCCAATCAGAGCTGGAAGAGCGGAGAAGAAGGCGAAGAGACGAGTATGAACAGTGGAGCGGAGACGGAGGAGCTGCATTAAAACACAGGCAGATTAGAGCCGATATCATGATTATAATGTTGATCGAGTCGTCAGGTCGCTCTCTTTGCAGTTTCAGCTCAGCTGCCGGTTTGTAGTGAAATATTTCTCCAGCTCTCACTGCAATATCAACATTTCTCTCACATATTAATCCCCAGTTTGAGCTTTCACTGCGCATAATAGCACGAACAGGTCCAGTAAGTTTAGCTCTATTTGTGTCGTGTGATCTGAGGAGATCTGGGAGTTTGAGTTCTTGTTCGTAGCCCAAACTCATTATGTGTTATTCTCTCTTTTTGCTTTGTCGTCTTAAGTTTGTGATGCTCTCCGTTTTAGAAATCTGTTGAGATTTACGAGTCATGTAGTGTACGCCCTGCCTAAGCAGTGAGACAAGCTCCAGCACTATTATAAATTTAGGCTACATATTCAATCGCATCATCCATTCAGATGTGAACAGCCAGAAATAGGGTTTATTTCATCTTTCCTGTGTTGCCCTACTAAGGAATTGAGTTCAGGAGCCACTGCGTCGGTCATAACACGCAAGATCTGCTCCAGAAAGAACGCAGCTTGTACGTGCTGAGGTTACACAGCAGAGAGAGAGAGAGCTCTGAGCTCTCTGTGCCGAGTTTGGTGAGGAGAGTTCGGCTGCGACTGCAGCTCTGCTCTCCTCTGAGGCGGAGAATCGCCCCCCGAGTGCTTTATTGATCTCATCTCGGCCGTAATAGGGCTGTCAGCGGCCGTCCCGCAAGCTCCGTTTACCTCTTGGCAGCTCATGGGCCAGAATAATCTTTAATCCCTCAAACAATTTAAATCGCACAGCCCAGGGACTTCCACATTGTGCAGCGCTCTATTGTTGCCTGACGTCCAGAATGGTAAAAGTAATGGAGTCTTAAGCACTTAAGCGGTTCACTTCCAGTGCATTGCTGTGTATTAGAGGGCCTCGGTTCGGAACGGGGGGGGGATGCCTGCTGCTGCTTCTAATTTATGTGTGTTATTCCTCTTTGATGGTGATTGTGTTGTTTTCAGTTGTGTCATGGTCTGTTTTTCAGTTTTGTGGTGAGGGGAGCTGCGTGATATGTACAAAATACTAACTGTATATTGCTGTATTGCAATTGTGATGCATTGCAGTGTATTTAAAACGCATTGATACTCAGTGTGACATGGTTAATGATTGGTCTGACAGATTTTCTTACCAAAATAATTTACTTTTGTGAAACATTTGTGTAATATAGTATGATATAGTGGTGCAATACAGCGGTGCACTAAAGCGGTATGACATTGGTGCGATGCAGTGGTGCACTGTAGTGGTATGATATAGTGGTGCACTATAGCAGTATGACATTGGTGCGATGCAGTGGTGCACTGTAGTGGTATGATATAGTGGTGCACTATAGCAGTATGACATTGGTGCGATGCAGTGGTGCACTGTAGTGGTATGACATAGTGGTGCACTATAGCAGTATGACATATTGGTGCGATGCAGTGGTGCACTGTAGTGGTATGATATAGTGGTGCAATACATTGGTGCACTATAGTGGTATGACATAGTGGTGCAATACAGTGGTGCACTATAGTGGTATGACATAGTGGTGCGATGCAGTGGTGCACGGTAGTGGTATGATATAGTGGTGCACTATAGTGGTATGATATAGTGGTGCAATTCAGTGGTGCACTATAGCGGTATGACGAGGAGGTGCAATACACTGGTGCACTATAGTGGTGTGATATAGAGGTGCGATGCAGTGGTTCACTATAGTGGTATGATATAGTGGTGCAATACATAGGTGCACTAAAGTGGTATGACAGTGGTGGGATACGCTGTTGCACTATAGCGATATGACATAGAGGTGTGATATAGTGGTGCACTGTAGCAGTATGACCATGGTGTGATACAGCAGTGCACTATAGCAGTATGACATTGGTGTGATGCAGTGGTGCACTGTAGTGGTATGATATAGTGGTGCACTATAGCAGTATGACATTGGTGCGATGCAGTGGTGCACTATAGCAGTATGACAGTCGTGTGATACAGTGGTGCGCTATAGTAGTATCACATAGTGGTGCACTATAGTGGTATGATACAATGGTGTGATACACTGGTGCACTGTAGCGGTATAATATAGTGGTGCGATACAGTGGTGCGCTGTAGCAATATGACATTGTGACATGTTACAGTGGTGCAATACACTGGTGCGCTATAGTGGGATATTATAGTGGTGCAATACAGTTGTGCACTATAGCGGGATAGTATGACTGGTGAAATACAGTGGTGCATTATAGCGGTATGGCATGATACGATAAAATGGTGCACTATAACAGTATGACAAGGAGGTGGAATACGCTGGTGCGCTATAGCGGTGTGATATAGTGGTGCGATGCAGTGGTTCACTATAGTGGTATGATATAGTGGTGCAGTACATTGGTGCACTATAGAGGTATGACATAGTGGTGTAATACAGTGGTGCACTATAGTGGTATGACATAGTAGTGTGATACAATGGTGCGTTATAGTGGTATCTCACAGTGGTGTGATACAGTGGTGCACTATAGTGGTATGACGTGGTGTGATACAGTGGTGCGCTATAGCGGTATGGCATAGTGGTGTGCTATAGCGGTACGACGGTGCATTATAGCGATATAATATAGTGGTGCACTATAGCGGTATAATATAGTGGTGCGATACAGTTGTACGCTATAGTGGTATGACGGTGGTGCACTATAGCGGTATGATATAGTGGTGCAATATAGCAGTATGATTTAGTGGTGCACTATAGCGGTATGATTTAGTGGTGCACTATAGCGGTATGATATAGTGGTGCACTATAGCGGTATGATTTAGTGGTGCAATATAGTGGTATGATATAGTGGTGCACTATAGCGGTATGATTTAGTGGTGCACTATAGCGGTAT